CCCCAAAACCCCAAAACCCCAAAACCCCAAAACCCCACAATCGAAAATAGCAATAAATTATGGAGATATCTGAACATTTTTATCAATAAAATTAAAGTTTATAAATGGAAAAGAGTAAATCCCATAATTACTTACCTTTTACGAAAAGGAGACAATCAAGGTACTAAAATGATATCAGTACCACAATCAGTTAAACAAAGCTGCTGCAGCAATCGATAGATAGTGATTAGAAGTCTAGAAACAAAGGAAATAACAATCCTTTCAAGATAGATAACACTTATACCAATAATAACACTTTTTTCAATGACAAGAGTATATATTACAAAAGCACTTACAAAAATTAAGGTGTTCAGGGAGGAAACTAAAACTCAGTCAACATGCTGTCTGAATTCTAGAAGAATATAATTAGCATTGCCTCTTAGATAAATCGACTTAACTTCGCATTGGGAAATGAGGCTACTGAGAACAATAGGACCACTAATGATATCAAGCTAGATTCAAGTGCAATGAATTCAGCTTTTAAAGTATCTCACAGCAGGGCCGAGTTTACCCCTTTGAAACTCCCCTCAATTAAAAATTAAAACAACAAGTCTCAGTTGTTTGATGTTTCTGCTAATGTTTAAACTACACTTTTAAATAACGAATAAAGGTAATTGATAGAGGCTAAAAATATAAAGGCCTTATTTAAAAAGCCAAGGAAACAGCGCCATGAAAAAGACTATCATTAGAAAAATAACCCCCTGTTATGTCGATGCAAGGACCATCTCTCAAAGGTAAATGAAATGAATTAGTATATTAACAGTCTAACTGAGGACTAAAATGAGGGAGAGGCTTGCATTCATTAAAAGGGGGAAGAAATCAATAAATCTGATAACAATTTAAAATAGTAATTTTTTTCACCCAAATATGACAATAACGCTTTTATATAATAGACCATATCTCCCTCTCTAAATTAATCACCAAAAAGATTGATTAATGGAAATGAAAGCAAATAGACTTAATCATAGCTCTAGCTAAGAGATCTATTGAGAGATAAATTTAAAAAGAATATTGATCAATCTAAATCTCTAAGTTAGTTTAAAGAAAAATAATCAATCGATAAAAATATTCAAGCTAAGCGCGTTCCATCCTCTTTAAACATCAATATCATAGTAAATAGATAAGCTCAGAAGCATCTCTTAGATAGTGACACTACAACAACAAAACACTCTTAACCATCTAGAAATTCATAGTATGAATAAGAGGCGAAGTAATCAATGGCCCAATCTACTAAATCTAGTGCCCTTATAATGTAGCTCTAGCTAACTCAGTCCATCTAAAACGAAGGTTATGACGAAAAGTATGATGATCTCTCTCCAAAAATAAGAGAATCACTACTTTGGCAAGAGGAAAACGTCCTTAAGAATGAGTAATAAGTTGAAAAGTTTTATGACAACTATAAAAAAATAGAAAAGATTGCAGAGGTTGACCAAAATAATCCTAGATAAAACCTAAAAGATAAGAATCCCATTATAGAGTACTTGAAGTAAGTAAATAAAGACAATTAAAGACCTCATATGCTAGCTTTTAAGAAGTCTAAGGAAAATGAAGATTATAGCTATAATTTGAAATCTTTCCACGTTAACCTCAATTTTGCTAAGGCCTTCTCAGAAAACCTTAAGTCTAACAGCAAATTAACTTCACTGACTCTGATTAGAACTAACCTAAATGATCAAAGCTTTTCATGTCTTATGACAAACTTGCCTTTGAAGTTGCAAAAATTAGATGTGTCAGGAAATTCACAACTAACAGTAAAGTCCTATAGCATTTTGAAGCAATTCCTCTGTGATAATAAGAGAGTTATATCAAACCTAAATTTTGAAGGAAATCTAATGGGTGATGAATGCTGCAAAGAAATATGCAGTGGTATTGTTTAAAGTTTGCACCTTAAGATTTTGAATCTTAGTAAAAATAATCTAACTGACGTGGGGGCTTAATATATAAGTGAAGTGCTAAGCTTTGAAGGTAATTTAATGACCAGCCTACTCTTGCATTGGAACAAAATAAGGTCAAAAGGAGCTATTCTACTGGCAAAAGCTCTTAGGTCAAACTACACTTTACAGATATTTGATGCTTCCTTTAATTCATTTGGGACAGGCCATCATAAGGAAATCAAATAAGGAAAGCTATCGCAATACCTTGATGAAAACAAGATTCAATAATCAAGTAAAAAGGATAATAAACTTCCTTTGGATTCAGCTAGAATTTTGCAGTCTTAATATGAACCATACACTAATGCTGCTTGGAAATTCATGAAGGCATTTGCTAGCAATAAAAGACTAGCCCATGTAGATCTCTCTTTTAACAGTTTCAAAAGAGAAGACATTAAAATCATTGGTAAAATATTAATAATCAACTAAACTATTTAATAGGAGAGGGACTAAAGAATAATCATACTATCTTAGGAATCCATATGCTTGGAAATGATGCCGAGGTAAACTAGCTAGGCTTTGTAGACGGTTTTAAGAAAGAAGATAATCACTTGATGGGTCATGTGTTCACTAGAATACCAGGTAATTTGCTATTAATTTAATCATTTATAAAGCGCATTTGAAAACGCATCATATTGTTAGTAAAAACCTGATTGACCTTAAGGTTAGCTCAAACTGCTGGGTATGTGAAGGGTGGAGTCAGATGGAATTTAGAATCATTCCTATTGACGTAAAACAGCCTTATTTACATTTGAGCTTTGAAAACTACATGCCTCAGAAGATGGATTAGGATCCATCACTCCCGGGTCAATACTTAGTATATAGAATGGTACCTCCTGGCTCTCTAGGCTATTTCTATTCCAACGAGGAAAACGTCACATACGTTGACCCAGTCATTCCAAGCATAAACAACGATAAATCAAGAATCTAAAATGAGAATATCAATATTTACGTACCTAAAATTAACTATGTGGAAAATGCTGAAAACCTGGCTAAGTATCTGTCATCTGATGACTTGCTTTCTTTCAAAGCAGTTCCAAGACCAGAACCTAAGTTAGAACTAGAAGAGGAGTGACCAAAAACACCTTGGTGTCTTTAGAAATCTATTTTTGCCACTTATAAATATGATACTGATGAGCATTTAGCCAACTGCTTTGACTTTGATTGGAAATGTAGTAAAATCGATAAAATGATTAAATCTGTCAAGGACAAGGAAAACATCTATAAATACCTTAAGGGAAACTATAGATATATGTAAGTTTACATTATATTGTTTTACCTTAATAGACGTGAAGCCTACAGATACTTCTCAGCAGTTAACCCAAGCGGACTTGTGTTTTCTATCGGAACAAACGTCTTTAGTGATATAATCTATAACTGTCCAAGCATGCTTGATTCTAAGTTGCTAAAACTGTCCGATGTCGATTTGGAATTTATCTCGACCAAGGCTGGAAATCAGTTTAGAGGTAGAATGAACCCAGATCGCTAGCTCATTAGATTTTAATTCTTAGAGATATTTGTTAGACTTGCAATAGATAAGTACTATAAAACGAAATAATGCATTGCTCAAGAAGATGCAATCTATAGAATGTTTGATGAACACGTGATGCCATATTTCAAAAATTTTAATTCTAATGACTTTAAATGGGCTAAACTTTGGAATGAGCAATGTGATATAATCATTAAAGCCAACTTAAAGGTCCTCTAAGATATCTACTATAAATACTATGGCAAAGATTCGCTACCAGGTGAACTCAAATTCATGAGTATGAATGAATTTATAGATTTAGTTACGAGATCTGGAGTCATCGATGACAACTTTGGAGCAAGAGAGATAGGAATCATTTTTAATTTGTCAATGATGACTTAAGTGGATGAGATTAATAAGGAGAGACATACTTAGATGCAGTTTATTGAGTTTGTTGAAGCTTTGAGCAGAGTTGCTGAGAGAGTCATGATACCTATTCCTAGTTTCTATGATAATGATGAATTAAAATCATCTATTGAATCTCCTACTCTAAGAGAGAGATAGTTTGCTTAATCAAGTTTAAAAGAAAAACAGTAGAGCTTGACTCCACTTCACAAGTCCTTAAATGTTTAGGGCAACAAAGAATATCCGCTTGAAAAAAAATTTCAAGACTATATAAACAGAATCTGTGCGTTATGCATGGGTGAGGAATATGCCTACAACTACAAACGCAAAATAGAGAGACAAGAGACTCTGAGAAAAAAGCGTGAGTCATCGCTCGCTCAATAGCCCTCATTAATGAATAAGACTGGCATTACATTCTATGAGAGAAAAGATTAAAATCAAATAAGGAGTAACAATGGGTCTTTCATTGGAGGAAGGAACAGTTCAATAGAATCATCAAAAACTCCTTCCGCTCTTAATAAAATGATTTCTGGTATGCAGTTAAAACTTAAAGTAAGAGATAATTTATGAGCCCATCATATCATATGACTATTGATTAAATTGCTTATTATAATAATTCCAAAATTCTAAATGATATTTGAAGTAAAATTAGGAATGATGGGGTTTTGGGGTTTTGGGGTTTTGGGGTTTTGGGGAGATC